GTTGTGGTTGAGTTCATTCAAATGAACATTTTTAGTCGGTTCGGTATACCACGAGCTATTATTAGTGATGGGGGTGCTCACTTTTGTAATAGATATTTCCGTACCTTAATGCAAAGATACTTCGTCACCCATAAAGTTGCTTCTGCCTATCATCCCCAAACAAGTGGCCAAGTAAAAATATCCAATTGTGAAATTAAGAGAATTCTTGAGAAAACGGTTCAGCCAGATCGTAAAGATTAGTCTTATAGACTGAATGATGCTTTGTGGGCTTACCGGACTGCATATAAGACTCCGATTGGTATGTCACCTTACCATTTTGTCTATAGCAAAGGATACCATCTTCCTATAGAGTTAGAACATAGAGCTTTCTGGGCTATTAAAAAGCTTAACTTTGATATGACATCTGCTGGTTCTAACAGGAAGCTTTAATTAACTTAGCTTGAAGAATTGTGTAATAATGCTTATGAGAGTGCTAAAGTTTACAAAGCAAAGACTAAGGCATTGCATGACAAGCATATCTTGCGTAAGACTTTTCAGTTTGGGATGAAGGTTTGATTGTTTAATACATGACTGAAACTTTTTCCTAGAAAATTAATTAGTATGGGTTTTAGCAACGGTCTTTTTATGTCCGCCGGTGATATTTTACAAATACCGGCATTTTAGGTAAAAATGCCATTGTATAGTATTTTTCCGGCCGTTTGTTTTAAAACGCCAAAAAATATATGGTTATTCTGGCGTTTTATATTTAAATGCCGAAAAATATCATGTTTGTTTCGGCAATCAAAAATTAGTGTCGTTTATATTGTATTCGCTGGCGTTTTTTTTGCACTGCCGATAAATATAAAATGAGATTTGTGTGCCTTGCCAATAATAAAGAAAATAAGTGACGTAGTTTTGGGCTTAGGATATTTTAATCTTTTTTGTTATTTATTACATTTTCAAAGGGCGATGTTAACCCTTAGTATTAGGAGAAGATTATAGAAGGCTAGAGTCCCATCTTCAAGCTGCTTGTTCCCTCACGTTGTCACGATAATCAGCGGCGGTGCGGTTGGTGGTGCGCGACGAAGATCTAGGTAGTGGTGGTCAAAGCGGGCTGCAAAGATCTGAGTTGTGGTGGACGTTCAATGAATTATTCAGACACCCTAATATGTGTGTTTTTCAATTGTCTCTTGCATCGACGACATAATTAGAATTACTGCACCGGATGACCAAATTGGCGTTTTGAGAAGTCTCATATTTCTAGTTGTTGCTATGAAAAGGCTATTTTGATGCTTCATGCAGTTGCAGAAATTAAGTTAATCATTGAGATGTATCACACATTATTTGTTTTCCTTTTTAAAATATGATTAGCGATCTTCACCCAGATAGCATCTTTCTATCGATGGAGAAAAATTCTCTTATACCGGACGAAATTGACTTTATTCCAATGGAACTAATTTGACCTCTTTCAACTAGTGTCTAGATGGGTCAGAATATTCTTCCTAATTGATGGAGGTTTGGAGAAAAGGTCTTGAACAACGTACTGTGCTACTATTCTTAAGTCTCGGTTCCGAGAAGTCTGGAGTTCATGGGCCTTTCATGCATAGATTTTGTGGAAATAGTTGCTAATGATGCATTTGAAGAGGAACAATTAGAAAATAGTTAGCTATCACTGGGGTTCATATAGACTGTTATACAATAATCAATAAGATAGAATCTCTCAATTTGAAATGTTTAAATCTATGATTGACAAATTCAGTCGGATTTAAAAACCTATGGTAACTTGTTTCATTTTCCAACATGAAATTGTTTCTCTGGTACAAATTTTGATTAGGGAATAAAAACAAGACACGGTGTACCACAGGAGGCACATATTCGCTTAAATACATGAGTCTACTTTTGGAAGTTTCAGAGATGGTAAGTGGGTAGAGCAGTATATGTGAAGACAGTCAGGAGTTTGGAATAAAATCAGGCTGTACCTTAGATGATATTTTTGCAGTTTGAAGTTTGAATCGTATAAATATCTACATTTGTGTGTACAGAGAGTTAATCAACTATGAAGTTTAATAGTAAGGGAATACCATAAAGATAACGACTCTCATTTAACATTTTGGAGGATGGCTGTTTGAGATTTTTGGGGCCAGTCAAATAATTTTTCTGATAATTGTTTGGTGATTGGGATAAGGAGATTGCACATTTGCACATGTACATATTTGGTAGTGAATTATGGGGTGTTATACTATCATAGTAGACAAAAATAATAATAATAAAAAATTAAAAATTAAACCATGAACTTTGAAGTCACAGTCACATTGCCAGTAGACTTACTACCACGTATTCACTGATTATATATAGGCTAATATTTTTAATTTCTTTAATTGGATTGAGATACTATGCACCTAAGCCTTCCCAAAACAATGGAATCAGTTTAAGTAGACCTTAATCTAGATCATCCAATATCTAAACTATTTAATCCATTTTTAGAATTTATTGAGAGTTTTGGACATAGTCAAAATTTAAGCGGTTCATGGAGTTGTTATGGATGATGTCCACCCACTCAGCCACTAAAGATATGTTCACCATCCTTCAGATTGTAATATATAGAGAATACTACAAAATCAAATCATTTTAAATGTGAACATTATTATTATATTCATTGTTTAATTTGCTACATTTATATTTCAACAAGTATGACATTCAATAACACCGGGCTAGTTGATCAATAGAATCAACATTTTACTACTGCATATATTAACATTTATCTATTGATACAAATTTTGGAATTTAAGAAATCGATCCCCAAATCAATTAGATTTTCTAGTTAGGTTTTAGGTTTTCAGCACATCTCACATGGATCATGCTAGCTAGCTTAAAATATTATCTGTTCTCACACGTGATTGATTCTCTTCACCAATTATTTTATGTGCCTTCAATTGCTGTGAAAATATAAATAAATAGAACACAGGTTTTTAAAGCTTATCTTGCTTTACAATGAGTTGGTGCAGAAAACTTATAGTGGAAAGCAAAAAATTGTATTTTTTTCGAAGATTTACTGATATAATTTTTATTTTTTATTTTTTTCATTTGGATGTCTGATTTTCATCTAGGTTATGTTTATATTTATTCTCCTCTTATAATTTCTATTTTGCATTCATATATATATAACAAGCAGTGTATTTTAAGTTATTTGACTGAACAATAAGTTTGATATACTTACTGCCACACTTTATAGGTGATGCTAATTAGGTAGATTGAAGTAGTTTATTGATTAAAGAACTATGAAATGCAGTAATTCAAAGAAGTTGACCGACAAAGTTTTGCGATTCATATGTTTTTACATAATCTATCATAATGGATAAAAGTTGGATTACGGACTCAAGGTACTTTAAATTTTAGTCTTGTTAATTTAAAATTTATATATATATATATATATATATATATATATATATATATATATTATAAAGCTTAATTCTTATCTTAGTTTAGATATTTATAATAAATTCATTTTGGCTTTATCTTTCTTACTATTCAAATAGGATAAGTACTACATACTCGAATGGAGTTGAACAATTTCTAGATACTGCATTTGAGCGAGTTGGGCAGAGTGGATGCATATATTGTCCGTGTAACAAGTGTGGGAATTGTATCAAGAAAACAAGGCAAGAAGTTTTGGATGACTTGATGTGGAATGGGTTTGTCAATATATACACAATTTGGATTTATCATGGAGAACGATTACCTTCGTCTTCTAGGCACAATGATGGGGACACCTCATACGAGCATATCAACCATATGGTCAGTAATTTCTGCCAAAATAATCCCTTTCAACTTTTGAGAAAAGCGAAAGTGTAATGATATGGACCAAATGGTCTGTGCTTTCTACCAAAGTAATCCTCTTTCAATACTAGCGTTCCACATTTGAACGCTTTCTAATACAATCTTACTTATATATATATATAAAAGCAATTATCTTTCAACTTCTAAAAATGATTTTTTAACAATTTGAGAAGGCAATAGGGTCAGCTCATCTTTTAAAATTCTCTTCTTTTTTGTTTTTTTTACCCCAGGAAAATCATTTGTGATATTTCATCGTGATAAGAGGCTCTAAGCACTAGAGAAATAGCTCATATGTAAAAGTTCATCTGTGACTTTGCTTCCAAACTTACCCTCAATTGCCATTTACCATAATACAGTATAGGTCTCTTGAGTTGGCTCTTGTTTCTTCTAGTTTTAAGCATTCCTTTGAAGAGAAACAAATGAGAAAATAATATATAGAAAGTAGTTTATCGGTTTGTAATTTTTTCCATTATAATCCCTTTCTACTTTTGAGAAAGTGCAAGTGTACGATTCATCTGTGATTTATGTCAAAGTAATTATTCTCTTACAACTTCTGAAAGTAATTATATATATATATAGTGTGTGTGTGTGTGTGTGCAATTTAAGAGCTAATATATACCTTCTTATTTCTTTGTTTTAGAAATAAAGCCAACAAAATGAAGTAAATCGCTCTAAGCAAACAATGCTGCACATAACTGGGACAATGAGTTATGCGCGGAAGGCTGAAAAGGTTAAGTTGGATTTTTTATGAAGTTAATCACTTGTATGTCACACAATTTATTATACATCATTGCGGTATAATTATAATAAAATAGATATATTAAAAATAAAAAAACAGATGAAGTTGGGATCAGGGAAGGCACCAACTCGTGCTCAACTATTTTGCACAACACATAAAAGCAAGAAGGATGGCAAAGTTAGTGATGAACATACTGCCAAAATGATTGTAAGTATTTTTTTAAACCATTAATTCTTTATTTCCTAGTTTGATTAAGTGTAAAATGGCTATGATTTTGCATCATATTGAACATCAAAATTCTAATGTACAGGTAAATAATTGTTATTGCACCCTTATAAACATTTAACTATATAAATATTATAAGTCCTAATATATTTATAATTACATTCTATTATGAAGGTGCATAATAAAGTTATATTTTTTTGTGAAGTTACCCGGCTCCTCAACTACACTTGGTGATCCTTAAACTTTATTTTTGGTGATGGAATTTCATCCTTGGTGAGTACTATAGATTTTAATTATCATTTTATTTTAACCATACATTTAATTGTCTTAATTATTATTCTTTGTTTAATGGCTTTTATTTAAAATGTATGTAGGGCAATTTGAAGCAAGACGAGAGATGAAATTGAACCATTAATTCTCAAGACCCTCGCATAGTCTCACTCAAATTCTCAATGAAATGTTGATGTTTTATTTTAAATGATTTCCTTTTAATGCTTTATTAGATTTTGGTGTTTCCTTTTGAACCTTTTATTAGCACTTGACATTTTGAAACAAAACTTATATGTTATGGAATGTTATTGAATTTTAATGCAACTTTGTTCTATGTTACATATCAAATTTAAGTTGTTGGATGTGTTATGATTGGTAAATTATATTTAATTTCATTGAACAGGGAACAAAATAAAATATTTTCTATTATGTAAATTAAACCAAAAAATAATAATTTTTTTTAAAAAAATTTAACACATTACTGACGGTTTAAAACGCCCCTAAAAGAAAAAAAAAAAATTACAGTGCACTTACAATACACCAACAATTTAAAACGCCCCAAAAAGTAAAAAATTATACATTACCTGCTCTTTAAAGTGCCGGAATAGAAAAAAAATTATACATTACCGGCACTTCAAAGTGCCAAAGTATAATGTTAACACTGGCGGTTTAAAATGCCAACAACCCCTAAAAAGAAAAAAATTCTACATTACCGATGCTTTAAAGTGCCGGAGTATAGAGTTAACACCGGCGTTTTAAAACGCCCCTAAAAAGAAAAAATTCAACATTATCAGCGCTTTAAAGTGCTGGAGTATACAGTTATAATAACAGTTTACTTAAAATACACCGGCAGACAAAAATGCCGCTTCTTAAACTTTCACCGGATGTTTTACTGATTTCAAACCCGGCGGTTACTGACAAAATGCCGATGAAAGCTAGCGGCGGTGCCTGTACCAGCGGTTTGGTAAAAGCGCTGGTATAGGAAATCCTTATTTGTTGTAGTGTAAAGTCACGTTGGGAAGGTCCATACACGGTTATTTCTCTTACACCTTATGGTGCAATAGAGATACAAGATTGTAAGACTGGACAATTGTCCAAAGTCAATGGACAAAGACTTAAACCCTACATAGAGAACAGTGTGCAGAGAGGCACAGTTGAGGTAGTGGAACTTCATGATCCTATTTACTTGGACTAGAAAGGTCAGGTTTTCGTCGAGCCATCGACGTTAAACTTAGCATTTGTATGTTGTATCGTAGTTTACTTTGATTTTTATTTCGTTATTTTTAATTTTTAATTTATTTCTTAATTTTTCTTGATTTTAAGTTAGTATAGGTTTGAAAAAAATAGAAAAAGAAAATAAAAAAAATCTAAAAATTCAAAAATTTGTCTCCATGCTCGAGCATCAACAGCTTCAGGCTCAAGCATCAGTATCTAAAGCTCGAGCCTTTCATCATCGTTAAATCTAGGGTTTTCAGCAGCCTTGCTCAAGCATCACACTTGATGCTCGAGCCTCTGTACTTTAAAATAACAGAAACCCTCGAGCCATAGATGCAAACCCTTGTGCCTTGGCCTATTTTTGCATCCATACACTCTCCAATCTCTCCACTCTCTCCCTATTTGTGTCCATCATTTTAGGCTTCGATTCCACATCAAAAAGGTATAAATCTCTCCATTCCTCTCGGCTTTTATATAGATGTATATATATGTATATATTTTCTATATATACACTGATTTTATGTCCAAGTGATTCCCAAATCTTTTCGAATCTTCTTTTTAAACTTATATAATCTAATCTAATCTTTAATCTATCATCCAACCTTACAGAAATTCCAAATCTCAAAAGGATTTGACGAACACGGGTTGGGTCATTTGAAGGATTGAAGTGCAAATATAGGAAGTTTGGGGGTTGTTGTGTGATTATAGAGGAGTGTTGGGGTGAGTTTGAATTGATTTGGGGTGATTTTGGAGGATTGTTGACGAGTTTTGCTTCGGTTGAAAACCAGGAAGCTTGAGCATCCAGATTGAGGATCGAGCAATTGCTTGCAGTAGGCTCGAGCATTCGGACATAAAGCTCGAGCATTAGCTAGTCCAAAGCTCGAGCATCAGTACCTCAGGCTCGAGCATTGGAGCACAGAGTTTGGGGTTCAGCTTGGATATTATTCTTGGATTATAGAGATGCCGAGACGGCTGAGGTAAAGAGTTATTAGGACACTGGCTATAGCGTTAAATGATTCATGGCGGTATAGCAAGATCTGTGATGAGATAGATTTTGTTATAGAGGATTTTTAGAGGCACAGTGATACTTTTTGGGCAATAGTGGCCCTGCAGGCTAGCCAACTTTTTGGGTTTTTGAGGCATCCAACCCCGATTTCTTACCCCAGGCTGGTGCGAGCTTTCTATTGCTCCTTGCGATTCCATATGGGAGACGAGGAGGAGGATGAGAAGGACCACTTCACAGCCACTGTTGAGGGCATACAGCTAACAGTGAGCTGTGACACTATTGTTCAGGCTATTGGTTGCCATCACAGGTGCCCAGCCGCTCTTCAGACCAGATTCCCACAGATTCCCCTTGGCACGACCCGGGAGGTGATGGTCCGTGCTTTGGGCCAAGGGTAGCATACCTCCACCTTAGAGATAATCCAGAAGTCCCAGCTTCCGAGATGTTTTTGGTTTTTAGATACGGCCCTAGTGGCCAATGCTCGCCCTATCGGACACAAGATAGTGCGATGTGCTGAGATGGTGGATGTGACCTATGTATTCCACGCCGGCTACTGGGTGTCTATTCCCCAGTTAGTTTTAGTACAGCTCTGCCTGCTATATGGGAGATAGGAGGGGCTTGACGCCATCCTATTCATCATTTTCATTTTCCTAGGCTGGTCACACGCCTAATGGAGATTGCGGGGGTTCCGATACCCCCGAATGAGGCTGATGTTACTGTCTTCACCCAGTACCATTTCACGCAGCAGAATAACGTCTTCGGTCATATGCCCAAGGAGATGAAGCTGGAGTAGGGTATTGATGATGATATTCGAGAGGATCGACGACGTAGGGACACCGAGGCGAGGGGTGTGCCTTATGAGCTGCACGTTCCACCTTATCCACCCCCGCCTACTATTCTTCCTACAGACCCTGCTGATATGGTGATGGCAGCGGTAGTTGAGGATGGGGACAACGACGATGATGATGAGGCTACGGATGAGGAGATATATCTCTCCGATTCTAGACCTCAGGTGAGGAGGAGACCCGCTTCTGCAACATAGCCTAAGAGTTCTTCTCAGGTTGAGATTAGAGCTTTATAAGCCAGGGTGGCCGAGCTGTAAGATGGTCAGACAGTGCTACGTCAAATGTTGACTGCGCAGCAGAGCATACTAGAGGAGTTACTTCGTCGTACTCTGTCCGACCCATCCACTTCTTCCGTTCCACCACCACCACCTATGGATTAGTTTTAGGATTTTTCTATAGTTTGGTTTACTGGGGTAGTTCTTTTTGATGTACTTATTTTCATATGATATATATCTATCCTAAGTCTTTCTATTTAAAAGTATTGTACTGATTTCAGATATATATACATGTTTTTTGCTTATAGTATCCTTGTATTGATATTTTTGTGCATTATGATATTGCTTTATGCTTACTCTATATGCTTGATACTCTGATGTATGTTGGAGGTTATTGATTTTGCCAGATACTACAGATTAAGTTTGGGGGTGATTTTAATAACAGCAACCCTGACTGGTTTTGAGGAACCACTATATTGAAGGAGGAGATGCTGGAAATTTATTTTTACTCAACTATGCATTATTTTGTCCTATCTTTGCTGGTCTGCTTGTATGGTAATATCTTTCTCTCTTTCTTTTGTTCTCACACATTGAGGACAATGTGCATTCTAAGTTTGGGGGTAAGGCTAATTGAATAATTTTTGACTTTTTGTTATTTAGGAAATTTTTGCTGACATAAGGATAAGCTTTGCTGATATAAGCATGTGTTTGAGTCTATTGATGATTGTATACTCTGTTTGCATTTTGAAGTTGGTTAGAAATGGTTTGTATGCTAAATTATTGTGAAAAGGAATCGTTCAAATTTTTTGAAATCAGTTGGTGGCTTGTGGTTCACTCTGTTAGGATAATTATTGTTTAATAATGCTAATCTCTGAGATGCTACACTTTTCACAATATTCACACTTGCATGAAGTCTGTGGGGTAGAAATTGAAAGTCTTGTCTTGTTTTGAGTTAGACTGAAATGATTAGGTAGATTTGATGATTTTGATGACTAAGGCATAAAATGGAAAAAAAAAAACTAAAGAAAAATTGGTATGTATGCAAAAAAAAAAAAAAAAAAAAAAAAAAAAAAAAAAAAAAAAAAAAAAAAAAAAAATTTCACCAATATGAATAAATATATATATAAAAAAAGAAAGAAAAGTAGAAAATGATCAAGTTCAGGATTGTACTTAGATTGCTTGAATGATTAAGTCCTTAGGGGTGTGTTCTAACACCTAATGCCTTAAGATCGTCTGGTCTGGGAGTCATTGGTTGAAAGCTTGTTACATAAGGGGTTTAGGTTACCTAGATTACTTGAATAATTAAGTCCTTAGGGGTATTTTAACAGTTAATGCCCTAAGATCATCTGGTCTGGGAGTCATTGGCTGAAAGTTCGCTACAAGGGTAATTTAGAAAGCTTAATAAACCTAGACATTGCACAAGTATCCTTTTTAAAAAAATGTATACCAAAAAGAAAATAATAATAAAAATGCCTTGAGAGTTGGAATTTGAAGAGTCTGCTTGTGAATTGAGGAACGACAAGGAATAAATGCAAGTATGGACAGTAATCCACACGATGAATTGTAGGATCACTTTCAAAAAGCATCTTTAGAGATTAAAATTGTTGAATAAATGATTAAACTGATATGTGGGGACTATGGTTGCTTAACTGAGATTGGAAGTTGAAAGTTCTTCTGATTACATGTTTGGTACACTTGCTATATTTGGCTAATGGATGAATTGCAGGGATGATATGATTTGAAAATAGACTTGAATAAGCTTACTGTGCATTAAAGGCACTGATGTAAGAAGTTTGTGGGTATCTTTACTGGAAACCCTCACGAGATTATAACTCATCCACTAGGGGTAACCTAGGGTTTTAAAGGCTTGTTGCAAAAGCTAAATGCAACCGTGATTCCCACGAAAGCAGCTTTTTAGTTCTGTATTGCTAAGGCACTAGCAATATGTAAGTTTGGGGGTGTGATGAGTGCTGAATATATGCATTTTCAAGCCCCTAAGTACGTATATGTAAGGGCCTAAAGTGATACTTCTATCCATTATTAGACTAATTTATGCTTAAT